TTTTACTCTTTTGATTTATACCTTTTCTTAGTATTGCATTTAACCCTATGACGATGAGTGGCTGATGGTATCTTTGATTTATGAACGTGTTATGCCAGGAGGCACAATCTCAGTTTGGGTGAAGGGATGTGTCATGAATTTGTTTTTGCGTATCTGTTGACCGACTTAATTAACTGATTATTAGCGAATTGCTGTGTTATGTCTGTCATCGTTTAGGCCTATTTGAAGTTTTGGACGGAACTTGGCTCAGTGATTTGGAACTAATTACCAGATAACCGCCGCTATTCTGACTAAGATTCTGACAGTTGGTATCCATAGTTATTAATGTAGTGAACGATTAATCAAAAGATATGACGTATTCAGTACTTAGTGTGATTGGCTTTATGATTGAAGGTTACGCTCTAGAATCTTTTTACTGCTTTGTAATTGGTTAGAGTTTTGAAAATGAATAAAGAGAGATTGAGTTGGTCTTGAAGAGTACTCCACGATAGACGCAGTCAGAGTCTACGTCCAGTCCTGGAGAGCCTTGGGGCGAGTGTTGACGCAGTCTAAGAGAGTCTTGGGTCAGCCTTGCGATAGTCTTGGGGATTTTTCCCCAGGGCGCTGTGTCTTATAGAGTGCTCGATTGACCGACTAAGACGAGAGCTGAAACGTATTTCGTTGTGTGTGTCTTATTTGACTGTAAAGTATAAGTGACTTTCCCGATCCCCGTACCTCAAGGGGACGCGATAGAGAGACGAGACGAGATTCCCCCCTGACACGTGTGGAGACCCCGGAGAGAAGAATTTTCCCCCTGATAGTTATTGTACATTGTTATTTTACTGTGGCCATTATTGTTGATAATTTGTTTAAGGGCAATCATTCCGAATATTATTGAGGGTCGGCAAGATGTATTTTCGTAAGCTGTAATCATTTGTTTTTATTTTTGTAATAATGTGATTTCAATAAATAAAAAACGTAAATTCATAGACATGGGCAAGGTGTAAAATGTAATCAGCTATTTTTCGTAAGCATATAAAGCATTTTTCACATTACAAATGTTGCAATTCGTATGCAATTTCTAATTTTGATTCTTAAACACAAATTATAAAATATATTATAAAAATATAATAATTAGGAATTTCCTTTATCTATAAAGTGTGAAATCCCCCTTTTTTACTGTAAATTAAACTGTCATTATATTTCCTGTTAAAAAGTAAAATGCCTTTAGTAACCCCCCTCCCTCCATTATAGCTATCGAGTTTGGACGTTGATGCGATACGATTGTGTTAGCGTATTGGGCCACAATAGAGTGTAATAATTTATGTCGTGATTAAATGTGCTTTGGTGATGTGTCTCTGAAGCCACTGTTAAATTAACCGAATTGGAGTTTGTCGTTGTAAAACCCAGCCGTAGTCTGGTGTTATATAAAACAAATCCATGCCTTTATGATACTCGCTGTAACATTAACATTTAACCGTGGGAATACATTTGTTTATGGACATTTATAACTTGTAAATACCGACCATCAACTTTCATTTAAATTCAAATATTTAATGGTGATAGCCTAATCGGAGCTCAGTATTATCTACACCCATACATGACATGGCAAATACAACCACTCACTTATTCAATATTGGATAATGTTGAACTGTCTTATTAATATTAATGGAAATTAAAGATGATTATTTTCCTGGCTTGGTCAATTTGATTAATAATGCCCATTTTGATTAAAACCATTTCTGCCTTTCACTGTACACCGATTATAAAGATTTGCCGTTAACGAATTTCTCGTTATTTTGTACGTATTTTCTGTCAAAAAATTAAGTAAGCACTAGTAATCTGCTTTTATTTAATAAAATTTATTCTATTTCAGGTAATTATTTTGTTGACAATTTGAAAAAAGGGTGACCTGAATGTTATTATATTGTGTAAAGCCTCATGATGATTTTGCCGGTCCGTCCGGTCAATCAGCGCAAAATAAAGACCGCCATCTGTTGCTAAAATAGTTTTGAAGAACATAATGTTGTCAGTTAGGGGTTGACTAGTCCGAGGGAATAAAACAATCTGCACAGATAATATTTTGAAATGTGTATATATACTGAAGAGTTACAAAAACAAAATATATTTATAAATTCAAATCCCACAAAAATACTCGGAAGAAAAAACAAACAATTTATTTTCACGGAATCATCCCTTCAGCGAAAATAGCAAAAATAAATTCCAAGCGAAAATAAAGTATTCTACAGTATATGCTAAACAGATATAAATTTCTATCCATAGTTATAATGGCCAACGTGTGAATAAAACACGATTTCTAAGTTAGAGTTGGAAACTGGCAGCAGCAAAAAAATCTGTGAATCATGAATCTACTTTGAGCGAGCAGCGTCCTCAAAGTTTACCTTTGTTACACGGTCAGAGGTCATACGATGCAATGACGAGGCCAGACTGATTCGCTTTTAGTGTAGTGTTGAGTAACAAATTGTGTATGACGTCTGTATGTGGAGATTGCCCACTAAATTTATCCTGGAATGGTTCTAAATAGCGTACTATTTTATTTATTCAGCTAGTTCGATATTTGTCTTCACAGATAGCTACGATATGGCAGTTTCCGTGTCCCTTGCACAGGCGGGCTGTGTGTCGTCTGCAAGTTTCGAATCCTCGCAGTCTGCTGTGAACAATGTTGTCGAATCCTTGGAAAACTTACGTCAGAAATTGTTACAGGAATGGAGATTTAGTTATGCAATGAAACCAAAGGTTGAGGATGTGAGTGTCGTTACTATGAACTATATTGAAAGGTAAATATATCTCGTACAGGGTTTTCATTTCACAAAAAGTTGCGAACATCATCGACTGTGTCCAAGTTGATTGTTCAGATCGCTACTCTACTTTAAGGCAGAAGCCTACATGATACCAAATATCCAGAATTTATTCATTTCAAAAAATTGATCTTTTTGGCAATACAAGGATATTGACTTGAAAATGTTGGGGACACCAACTTAATTTTCGAGAAAATTGTGGTTGTATTTTAGTGGATAGTGGCCATTTTGACAGTATTATAACGCTTTTACCATAGGTTCCTATGAAAGAGATATTAAGTCATATCTCAAATTGTAGCCAGGTGGTATAGGCTGAAAAAATCATATATTGGTAATGATGGAGTACATAGATTAATTAAAATATCTGGGTTTCAAAAAATATCCAAAAATGCAATTTTTCGTTAACATTGTGCTCTATGGCATTGTTCTAAAAATAAATATTTTTGGAAAATAGGACAAATTTCTCAAAATATGTCAATGTAACACACAAACGAATGCCATTCCATGGTACCATGGGACAATAGCTTCATGATTTTACATAATAAACCAATGAACATTGTCATGTGATTTATGACCAACTTTCTCAAAAATTATGAGTAGGCTTCTACCATAAACACATTATAAGTAAATAGTTCTTTTTGTACCCGCTCCTTCTAAGGATACCTATAGTTATCTAGAGGGGGCATGTACAATTGAATCAGGGGTGACGGTTTTAGTTGTGCTTAGAGGAAGTACAAAAGGAAGTTTTTCGGAAAATAATACTGATTGACTGATTGCTAAAAAAAAAATGTGAAATATTAAAAGTAGATATCTATAAACATGATCATTCCACACATCTTATTTTGAGAGTACTAAAGGTTCTTATCCCTAAGGCAAACCACAGAAGGGCTGTCATCAAACATTTTACAAATCTCAAATTTAGTTAACCTATGCTTAAAAATAATACGTGTTACAAAGGCTACATATGGCTCTAATGAAAAATTGGAGAATTTTGAAATGTTATAAATTATCCATGGAATAATGTCTATTCCATGTATGAGATTCATCATGTTTTCTTGAAAATACCACCCTCCTTTTTTCTCTGTGAAAACTTTAAATATGAATGAATTGCATGTACATGTATATGAATCATCACATAATATCTGAATGTCTTTTCTATGCTTTAATGGAGCGAACCTTTAAAAAGATACTGTAATGCATGCATTATTCCAAATTTGATTCTTTAATATGCAAATAACAAAAATAAAACACAAACTATTATAGTTTTTTTTACAATCATCTTATTGTTTTTCATATTTCAGAGAAGAGGTTCTTAGACGCTTAGAGTATGTTGTTGATAATATTTTAACGTCATTATCAAAAGACGAATCTCCAAGTATTGTGTACAACAGTCGAAGTACTTGGCAGAATATAAGGTACAAATTGGGGAGGAAATTAGAATAGCAATTTTATTGTTATTAAAGTGTTAATCACTATAGAATAGTCGTTTCACTTTTATCCAGTGGCAGCCATTTTGTTTCATGGTTTTACATATCTGAAGTCATTTCTCAAACATGCTTTGATCGATTTGGTTCAAACTTGGTCAATGTACTTGATCAAAAAGAAGCATATGAATGCAGATATTTCATTTGTCATATATTTGAGTACAAGAACAGAGGGACATTTTGAATGGCTTGTTCCACACAAAAATTTGCTCAGTTTTTAGCAGAAGAGAATTAACAGAATTTCATTTTATTGGCTTAACATATTGATTCCTTTTCAAATGTGGAAAACATGTGCAGACAATGAAAATGTTTTAAACCACTACTTTTTGCTGCTTTTAGGTGTCTCCTTGTGTTTCTAGTATTACACCTGACCTGACCCTGACCTATGTGTCTTTTTTATAGTAAAACTGGAAACTAACCATCTGTTTTTAGATGCATTATATATATGAATATTTTTTTCAAACTAAAATGGCAACCTGAACATCATGCATTATGAACATTTTATTTGAAAAATAGCAGTCATAATGATGTAATGCAAAATAATATTGTAGGTTCACAGAGTCTGCAGGTTTGCAAATGATACCAAACACTCATGCAACAGAAGTCAGATTTGATTCTCTGAACTCAGTTAACAAGTTTGGTAAGTGGATTGTGTAAGTTAGCCTATGTCTCTTTGTGGTAACTTCATTATATATAAAAAAACAAAAACCATTGACAATGATATTACATGTCAGAAGGTAACCATGAATTTTTACATAAAAAGGAAGTTTATTTGAAAAGTTCAAGGTGGTTCACGTTTGAACTTAATGGCAAAGTATGTAGAATCACTGAAACTTAGACAAACAGAAAAGACAATGAAAATGTATTCTACTCTTTATCATAACCCTATGAATCTTTATCCACCCTATGAATTTATACTAGAATAATCAGGGGGGGTATTGGCATGAGAGGGTGCCATCCATTCTGGATAGAACATTTCAAAGTCAGTTGTACGCAGGCTATCATTGAAGCAACAACATTCCTTTTACAAATAGATGAAATCAATTTAGCAATTTCTTTACAAAATTGACAAAACTTAGAAACATTGCATAGAAATACACAGGCCCTAAAATTATGCCTATTGAAAAACAAGTCAACCGACAACCAGTTTGGCGCTACTAGTTTTTATTGCTTCAAAATTGTTCCATTTCAACTGCGCATGTACACACAGTGATTTCTTGAAATGTATACTAATTAGGTAACTTGTCACTGGTAAAAGTTATTGAAAACATTATGGGCAATTTTGAGCAATAATACTAGTGAAATATCAATGTTCCTCTGCATGCTTCATGAATTTTGTAACTCACTATGATTCCATTAAAGGATAAACCTGTGGTTACTTTCAATAGTTTGCTGGACTCAATCACAAAAAAGATTTACATCAGTTTTTCCATTATTTTTTCAGCTTGTAACGATATATTTAGTCAATTTAGAACTACTATGTTGGCTATCAGAAATGATTTTGGCACAATTTTACTGAAGAGATGAGATTTTATTGCTCATGAATTTTCATGTATGCAAATGAGATGATTATTTCAACCAATCATGTCATCCAACTCCCCCCCCCCCCCTGTGAATAATATTTTTAATTTTGTTTTTCAGCTACTACACTACAAGTGATGGCAATGTGTTATAAACTAGTTCAGTCAAACACTTTTTCAACAAAAAGGTAAATGTAAACAGCTATTACAGTTGTTTTATTGACTCTAATATTTCAGCAGATAATAAAACTTTAGTCTTGTTCACATGTGTCCCAGCTTGAGGTTAAACATGGAACTCTGTGTCATGGAACCCATACCCTTTTACTCTGAGCTAAACCATGGAGATACCTCAATGGCTAAACTAACCATTTTAATCTCTTCACACGTCTTTTTCAACAGTTTGTTAAAATAAACTCTGGGGTGAACTCCACGTTTTGCTACAAATGTAAACACCTTAATAACTGGTTATTTATTAATTAATTTAATTAATTTCAGAGATGTTTATTATAGTGACTGTCAACTATATGGTAGTCAGTCTGTTGTAGATGGAATTATTGATAACATATCTTGCATGATTAAAGTACCCAGAGAAGCATTACATGTGGTATGTATTGGCATGCATGACACTTTAATACTGGTATAATTACACCAACAATATTCAATTTACTTAATCATTTCATGCAGTAATAACAATCACATTTTACTGTAATGAAATTAAAATATTGTTATCAAGAATAATTGTTGCCTATACCCACATCATTAATACCACTATGAGTTTACTGTAAAACAATTCTTATCTAGTTAATTTGGCTATTCTTTATATGCAGCTTAAGAACCAATATTCACACAATTTGTTTGTGAACACTTCAGATATGCTGATTTATGATTTTATTGAATTTGCTAAAATATGGCTTATAAAAAATGTTTTACAGTATGGTTGTCTTGTTTGTAGTTATTAGTTTAGTTTAATTTAGTTTAGTTATTTCAGTTTAGCTAGTTTAGTTTATTCAAAATGATCACCGAAAAAACAAAACAATAAGTACAGTAAGTTCATACTGAGAATAGCTTGTGTAAGTGGCATAGCAACCTAATTTCAGTAGGTGCTCAAAAATCTTAGTTTAGCTGTAATTTACTTTTTAAAGGCTTAGAAGTTAGTAACAATTTAATTCATGCATTCTAGTGATTTCTCACAGTGACTTTGAAAAATTGGAGCAAGATTTCTATAGTGTCGCTATGTTTATCTACAGCTAGCAACAAGTAAAGGCTGGATTGCTGGAGCTATACAGTTCAAAGATTGTGATGCTGGTCATATTATTGACTGTAGTAAAACGCAAACTGTAAGTAGACTTGCTAGCTTTCTGCTGTGAGTAGAGTAGATGAATTTAACGAAAAACACATACAATGTATTCTGTAGGGTTTGTGCACATGAACATATATTAAGTGATATTTCACTTTAACCCTTTGAGAAAATGTTAACAATTTATGTTTTTTTTATCTAAAACTAGAAGCAATATGCCACATTTTGTCAGTTTGGTACAAAATTGAAATGGAATTCAGTGAATATTACAGAAAATGTAAAAAAATTTGAGCAGGAAAAAGATTTGGAACTCAAAGTGTTGATAATATCTTGATAATACTACTTGATGGTCATTCATTCATTCATTCACTGACCAGCTGTCGCTGACGCACATTCACTCACTGACACTTTCTGTTAACAATGTCTTTTATTTCTGCAGGGGATAGCCATTCCTGCTAATATAAATGCTGTATCTGGTATCCTTTTTAAATTTCTACAAAATAACAAATGTTGAAATGTCCAACATGGTTCATATAGGACATCAACCTTTCAATGAAACACTGGTTGAGATGCATTATGAAAATATGTCTCAAATACATCAAAAATTACTACTTAATAATGAAATTGAATCTCCACTGAGTCAGAATTTGGATAGTTTGGTATATTAATGTTCAACAGACATCAGCAATAAACCAAAATGTAAAAATCTATATTTGAAAGGAACCCAACCTTTGTACAGTTCTATTCTTTCTATACATATTTTGTGTCAGAAATTGCTTCCTCTGCTAAGATGGTATTAATTGTAGAAAAAGATGCCATCTTTCAGAAACTTCTTGATGACAAGATATTTGAAAAGCTTCCACCATGCATTCTTATAACTGTAAGTAATATACTACTACAAAATAGTTGTGTAACAAATGTAAACAAGTTTTTAGGGGACCCCAGCAGTAATATTAAATTGCTTGATAAAAAGTATCAGTCGGTGCCAAATAATTACCTTCTTTGAATAAAATATTTGCTAGTTTTTGTTTTTTAGCAGTAAAAAAACAAATATATATATACATGTAGCCAAATTTTTACCTTTTGTGTTGTAGGAATGGATATTAATAAAATTATTGAAAATCATTCTTTAAATATTCAGGGCTTTTTTCATATATAAACAAATATATATATATAGCCAAACAGTGCTTTCCAATTATTTGGGTTCCCAACATTTTCATTTTATCATGTACACTTGAAAAAAAACAAAAACATTCTGCTTTATGTAATCTTTGTATATTCATAATATTGTGGTGTCAGTAAAAGTATTATTAGTGTCATAGTTTGACTACATTCAAAGTAGTATTAGCTCCAGCTGTTCTGACAACAACGAAAGTTGCACAAAATTTGTCATATTTTTTTTTTTAATTTACTGGTATGAGAAATATGTTATAGTATGCGTTTGTTTATTAACAGGGAAGAGGATTTCCAGATGTTGGTACACGAAAAATGATTAAAAAATTATGGAATTGTTTACTTATACCTATCTTGGCTTTAGTAGATGCGGATCCACATGGTAAGTATATATAACAGTGCGTTGAAATAAACCTGTTTCAGAGTAACATTGTGTTAGCTCTATTTGGAATGTTTGATTTTAGTGAGTGTATTCGAAGTGCATTAACTTGATACCATCATGTTGACAAGGTATTTATGTAAGCATATTGTCTGTTCTAATCTAATGATTGATATTTGAAGATGTTTTCTCTCCTATTTCAGGGATGGAAATACTATTCGTTTATAAATATGGATCCAGGGTAGGCTTGTTACAACTGGTATTACCAACTGATCTGCAGAAGGCTATTTTTTTATTTGAATTAAACCACAGTAATACAACTAAAATGACTGATAACAAACAGTAGCTACATACATTATGTCACATGACAATCAGAAGTTCTATATATGGTCATTATGTCTCGTGATGAAATCAGTAGCCCTGTATACAGACATTGTCATGTGGTGACAGTCGGCAGTTTCATATATGGTCTTTATTAAAGTCTATTAAATCGGCAGTTTTATATATAGCTATTATGACGCATGGTGACTGTCGACAGCATCATATATGGTCATATCTCTTGGTGACAGTTCGCATTTCCATATATGGTCATTATGTCACATGGTGAAAGTTCCATATATGGTCATGTCATGTGATGAAATCTGCAGTTCCATACATGGTCATTGTCTTATGATTAAATCAGTATCCCCCTTATATGGCCATTCAATGTGGTGACAGTTGACAGTTCCATATATGGTCATTATGTCTCCTGATGAAATCAGTAGTTCCATTTATGACTATTATTTCACCTGATATCAATCAGTAGCCCCATTTACAGACATATCATCTACTGACATTCAGCAGTTCCATATATGGTCTTTATAAGTCATATTAAATGTATTTCATATATAGCTATTATGTCATGTGGTGACAGTTCCATATATGGTCATTATGTCATGTGATGAAATCTGCAGTTCCATATATGGTCATTACGACAGTATATAATCAGTATTTCAATGTATGGCCAGTGTCAGTAATCAGCAGTTCCATATATGGTCATTACGACAGTATATAATCAGTATTTCAATGTATGGCCAGTATCAGTAATCAGCAGTTCCATATATGGTCATTACGACAGTATATAATCAGTATTTCAATGTATGGCCAGTGTCAGTAATCAGCAGTTCCATATATGGTCATTACGACAGTATATAATCAGTATTTCAATGTATGGCCAGTGTCAGTAATCAGCAGTTCTCATAAATGGTTAGTAGTTGTAATAATTGCTAATAATTACTTTATTGCTGGGTTAATTCATGCTTCTGTCTCATTTCAGGGTTTGTCTTTCGACAATGAACAGATGGCAGTTCCTGTTATCAAATGGTTAGGTGTCTTACCATCTGATATTGATAAATTACATCTACCTAGAGACAGTCTAATTCCACTGAGTAAACCTGATTTAGAAAAAGCAAGAGATTTAATGAAGCGACCTTACTATATGTCTCAACCAATGTTCATGACTGAGGTGTGTCTTATTGATACTTCATACAAGTTCTAGATTGAGATATTTACATAAATTATGTACTACTACAATGTAATACTAACAATATTACCCCCGGTACTAACATTTTAATCCTTTGGACACCATAATTCTTTTTTTTTGCCAGGATTTTGCATATACGTTTTATATAAATTCTTTGTTAATTTGTACCAAATGGACATACCGGCCGGTATAATTTATCCTTGGATACAGATCATGATTAAAACGTTTGTAACAGCAGTTGTCAAAAGTTAGGCATTCAAAAAATTACAGCAATATGGGGATGGGATGATAACAAAAATTTTGGTAGGCAGTATTTTTTTTTTCATCTTCAAATATACTTGACACAAAGAATAAATGACATCACTATTGGAAAATTGACTGTCAAAAATGTTCTGATGTTGATTTTTTGATATTAATGAGGATCAAACTTGTATACAAATGAGGGTAAAACCTATTTTTGTTTCTACTTTTTAGATGCAGATTTTATTATCTATGAATCGTAAAGCTGAGATTGAAGCATTGACGTCCATTTCAAGGAATTATTTGACAGATGTATATCTACCTACAAAAATAGCCAATCAGGAATGGATATAGTATTATGTACCACTTTACTCTAATATGGAAAATATGAAGAAAATATGTGACAGATGTTTATTTACGAACTTAAATGGCCAATCAGTAATGATTATATAGTACCATGCCCTAATATGGCAATGAGTACCAACTGAAATAGCCAATCAAGAATGGCTATATAGTACCATGGCCTAATATGGCAAAAAAATATGCGGCAGTTGTTTATTTACGAACTTAAATGGCCAATCAGGAATGATTATATAGTACCATGCCCTAATATGGCAACGAGTACCAACTGAAATAGCCAATCAAGAATGGCTATATAGTACCATGGCCTAATATGGCAAAGAAATATCCGGCAGTTGTTTATTTACGAACTTAAATGGCCAATCAGGAATGATTATATAGTACCATGCCCTAATATGGCAACGAGTACCAACTGAAATAGCCAATCAAGAATGGCTATATAGTACCATGGCCTAATATGGCAAAGAAATATGCGGCAGTTGTATAGGCCTTCACACATTTACATTTTGCACAGTGAATGTAACAGTCAAGGAAATATGTGACAGATGTATCTATCAATCCACAAAAATAGCCAATCAGGAACCAAGTACCACCATGCCCTAATATTGCAAGAAAATGCGGAAACTGGAGATCAAAGTTGAGAATGGTGTCCAAACTAATTTTGAAAAAATCATTTGCTCCTTTGAAATTCATTATTATATCATTTATGTGAGTTGATATCACACAGCATGAAAAAATCAATTGCATGGGCAGTAAATGATGACATCAATTGCATGGGCAGTTATTGATGACATCAATTGCATGGGCAGTAAATGACATCAATTGCATGGGCAGTAAATGACATCAATTGCATGGGCAGTAAATGACATCAATTGCATGGGCAGTGAATGATGACATCAATTGCATGGGCAGTGAATGATGACATCAATTGCATGGGCAGTGAATGACATCAATTGCATGGGCAGTTATTGATGACATCAATTGCATGGGCAGTAAATGACATCAATTGCATGGGCAGTAAATGACATCAATTGCATGGGCAGTGAATGATGACATCAATTGCATGGGCAGTGAATGACATCAATTGCATGGGCAGTAAATGACATCAATTGCATGGGCAGTAAATGACATCAATTGCATGGGCAGTGAATGATGACATCAATTGCATGGGCAGTTATTGATGACATCAATTGCATGGGCAGTTATTGATGACATCAATTGCATGGGCAGTTATTG